AGTGCAAGAACCTGATAAGGTACTGTCCAGAAGCCTCAACCTCCCGGGCCTCTGGTAGAGGGACTGAGATTGAGAAAGATACATACCACCCATAGGGGCGAGAGGGGGGAGATAGATAGATAGATAGATAGATAGATAGATAGATAGATAGATAGATAGATAGTTATATTTTTGCCTTCAATGTAAAAATGGCAATACATCTACATTTAGAAATGTTGCTGAAACAATAAAGAACTTGTAATTTTTTTCTTTGTAGCAGTATGACAACTAGTGGTACAGAACTGAAAATTACCATTAAATCTTATATTGGCTCTAAGGCCATTAGAAGCTTTGAACTACTGCTTTAGCTGAAAAAAAAAATTATTAATACCTGTTCTAAAGTAATTTTACCAGTAATTTAAAAAAAAATGATAAAAAGCAGTTTGTGAAAACACTGCATCTTCATAATCCAACTAATTCAAATTCAGTCATCATGGTCAAATTGGGGACATCTATCTCCCCCACTAGAATAACAATGCTAACAAACAATTAAAGCACTGCAAGATTAAAAAAAAGAATATGTGGTTATAAGAATGTGACCACACACTCTGAGCAAAGTAACTGAAAAAGTACTAGATAAAAAAGAGAGACTACTTACTCTCCAAATCAGTTATAATGAGATTGTCATGGAGTTTCACTGCTCGATGCTGTTCGACTTCATCTTCCAGTTCAAATATGGTTTCTTTCATATCACTCCTTTCTGTTTCTTTCTCCTCCAATTCTGTGCGTAGCTTTTCTAAAGTCATATTCAGATCCTGAATTTGCTTTTTGGCTTCTTCTTGGAAAGCTCTATACTCATCTTCTATCTAGTTTAAGAAAAATGGCCAGACTCTAATTGCTTCTTCCAAATAAATTTCAACACTGAGAAGTATATTCATGAACCAGACACTTCTCTAGCTTAGTCCCTCAAAAGTAGCTCTTCCAAGGCGTTAGCCTAGCAAGCTTATTCTTCGCCAGTTGCCTGAGAACCATTTTAACTAGAGCAGCTGGGGACTAAGACATACAAATCATGTTTGTTCCCCGATGAGAGAGAAAGGAACTTAATGAGGAAAAGTGCAAATATGGTTAATTCCAATTTCCCCCCGGGCCAAATTATTTATCATGCTCCTGAAAAACTCTGTGCATCACTGGATATAGCTATCTTTTTATATCTGCTTACAGCTGAACCATAAAGACAGCAATCCTACCTTTATTCCTCCACTGAATAAAGCAGAACTTAACCTTAATGAAGTATAGTGGGCCTGAAAGGCTGTATCAGGATCTGCCAGTGGCTAAGTAGCACAGCACCAGCTTTATGCATGGCAGTTCAGCGTGTCAGGCCAGGACACGCTACACATTCACAGAAGCTTTTAAGTGAGTGGTCTGCCTCCCGCTTTCAGCACATGGAGACATCTGGGAAAGTTTTCTTGTTTGATTACACTTTTTGAACTTTACCTTTGCAATGGTATCCTGGAGGCGATTGGCATCGTTATGTGTCCGAGCAAGCTCTTCCTGTAGGGTGCTGGATAATGCTTCCGCTTTCTCTTTGTCCAGCCTGACACTCTCCAGCAAATCCTGTATGTCTGATTTATCACCAGATTTGTGTATAGAATACAGCTCAGCTACTTTCTGCTTCTCATGTTCCAGCTGTGCTTTCAACCGATTCATCTCAATCTGGTCACTGGAGACTGTAGCTTTGTACTCATCCAAGGCAGCTGCCAGAGTAGCCTTGCTTTTCTGCTCTGATTCAAGAATTCGCTCCATGTGGTGATTCCGTTCCTTCAATGCCCCGATCATCTCTTGTGCTTCCTTATTGTCTTGTTCTGCCATCTTCAAAGTGTTGCTTAGATGCTGCTGGACACCCAGAAGCTGCTCTCTTTCAAAACGTGCATTCTCTGCAAGGTCCATATAACGTTGCTCTAGCTCCATGTACCGTCCACTTTTCATGTCTTCATCAATAACATATGATATATGATGCTCATCTAAAAGTGAGCGGAAATACTCAATTTGTCGGCTAAAGTGTTCCAACTTATCACTTTGCTGGCACAAGGATTCCATGAGAATAACCTTTTCTTCTCCAAGCCTTTCATTCTCACTGTTCAGCTCCTGTGTAATTTGCTGCAAATCTGCGAGTTCCTGAAGAGTTGCTTGAAGCTCTTCAGCTGTACTATGCTGATTCTCTTCCATCTGATGTATTCGTTCTGTTAAACAAGCCACAGATACTTCACTGGCATTACCGCTGCTCCCTTTTCTTGATGTTTCTATGCTTGGCAATCCTTCTGACTCTGAAGATGACGGAGCATCTAAAGCATCATCACTTGAAGTGAGTGGCTGATAAACTTCACTGCACTCACTATCCAAGTTATCCATGGAGTTACTGTGTTGATTGTCCATCAAAGTATTCTCATCCTGACTCAAAAGATCCTCCATTGAACCAGGAGCAGAACCTTCTACTGAAGATGTAAGAGTTCCTCCACCATCACTATGGCTTCCAGTTGTCATTTCTGGGCTCAGAGACTGATAGCCAAATAGCTTTTCAGAATTATCCAACCTTTGCTCCAGAGAAAAGCCTAATGCATTTAACCTATCCTTTAACATCCGATTTTCATTTTTCAATTGATTCAGCTCTTCTCGTATGGCAGTGTTTTGTTCTTGCAACTGCAGTAATGTGGATTCTACATCAGTTGGCTGGTGAACAACAATAGTTTCTTTATCCTCAGATTTTTCAACTCCCTCAAACTGATCTTCATTAAGGCCTAGCTGAGCACGCATATCTCTTAGCTCATTTCTTAAGTGTAAGATCTCTACATCTTTTGTTTTGGCTAGCATCAAAAGATCTTTCACTTTTGCCTCTAGAACAGCTTTATCACTAATCTGATTGTCTGACTTTGACTTGCTCATTCGAACATCAGAATCTTGATTAGCACGGCTACGGGAACGTTTTGTAAGAAGGACATCATTGCTTGCCTGCCCAGTCAGCGGCAATTTTTTGCTTTGAGTCAATCGTGAACGGTCACGAATTCTTTCCCGAGAAGAACTGGATTCCTTACTTCCAGATGAAGTGTTACGTTTAGCTGCAGAATTTGTACCTGCATTGTTTTAAAAAGATAAGAAAAATACTCAATTGATAGGTAAAAGTAAAAATACAATTTTGTACAAGGTAAAGTGACTATAAACTCTAATGCGCATACTTGGAAGTTAAATGTTGAAGATAATTATGTGTAGCATACAAAATACAAATAAACATACTACAATAAGCCATAAAGTTAATGCTGGATGTTAATGCTACTAGCTACAGTGGGGCAAAAAAGTATTTAGTCAGCCACCAATTGTGCAAGTTCTCCCACTTAAAAAGATGAGAGAGGCCTGTAATTTTCATCATAGGTATACCTCAACTATGAGAGACAAAATGGGGAAAAAAATCCAGAAAATCACATTGTCTGATTTTTAAAGAATTTATTTGGTGGGAGAACTTGCACAATTGGTGGCTGACTAAATATTTTTTTGCCCCACTGTATATATACCTCTCACATGTGGGAGAACTTGCACAATTGGTGGCTGACTAAATATTTTTTTGCCCCACTGTATATATACCTCTCACATGTGGGAGAACTTGCACAATTGGTGGCTGACTAAATATTTTTTTGCCCCACTGTATATATACCTCTCACATGTGGGAGAACTTGCACAATTGGTGGCTGACTAAATATTTTTTTGCCCCACTGTATATATACCTCTCACATGTGGGAGAACTTGCACAATTGGTGGCTGACTAAATATTTTTTTGCCCCACTGTATATATACCTCTCACATGTGGGAGAACTTGCACAATTGGTGGCTGACTAAATATTTTTTTGCCCCACTGTATATATACCTCTCACATGTGGGAGAACTTGCACAATTGGTGGCTGACTAAATATTTTTTTGCCCCACTGTATATATACCTCTCACATGTGGGAGAACTTGCACAATTGGTGGCTGACTAAATATTTTTTTGCCCCACTGTATATATACCTCTCACATGTGGGAGAACTTGCACAATTGGTGGCTGACTAAATATTTTTTTGCCCCACTGTATATATACCTCTCACATTGAAAATTACAGGCCTCTCTCATCTTTTTAAGTGGGAGAACTTGCACAATTGGTGGCTGACTAAATATTTTTTTGCCCCACTGTATATATACCTCTCACATACTGCAAGTAAGGAAAACAACAAAATAGGTCCCTGATAAGTCTCCGAGAAAAAGTTTCATATTCGGAGGACAAAACTAAGGTCTTTGTTTTTCCAGTTGCACTACACCAATGACCCATATTCAGCTTGCAGTCAAATACTATTCCAAGATCTTCTTTCACAAGCACTAGTTTACTCCTTATCCTCCAAAACATAACCAGAATTCAAAGTAATTTTGTAGTTCTGCACGGAAGGTAAATAGTAACCTCAGTTTGCTAACTTAGGTATCATGATCACTTATAGTTAGCAGTAAGTTTAATTTTAAAATATAAGGAATGCACAAGCCGGTAATTTGTTCATGATCCCAGATAGTTGGGAAGTGGTCTGAATTGAACATGTCCTGAGTGACATTGTGGGCCATGACACATGAACCAAGCCCCCTTCGAGTTGAACTGAACTCATCTCACTGACTCACCCATGTAGATTTCTTAGGAACAACTGAAGTGAGTGGCCATTGTCTTTTTCCATTATTTTTTTTTTACTTGCCAATCTAGCCAAATGCTGGAATTTCATAGTGGCTTCCTATCCCTGCTTAGGTTCTGAGCCCAGACAAGGTCAACCACGTGCAAGCACCTCTTAATGAGGACTAGTATCACACATGAACTAAACCATGGTGGTGTTAATAAAAAGACCTTTGTATCTATACCTGTGGTAGACTTCAATTTATTCTCCACACTATTCATTGTGGCCCCTGCAGCAGAAGGTGCTGTTGAGGTACAAACGCTCTTCTTTCCTTTGACACCGTTGCTGATATTAATCCCTCCAGCCATCCCAGCTAAAAGATCATCATTGCTCTTTGTCTGCAGGATAGATATAAAGTGATAAATAAGGATCGAGTCAGAAGTTTAATTTTTTTTTTTTTTTACTATAGGTACGTTGCCTAGAGTCACGTTTCTGTGAGATGGCAGCATATAAATATGATAAATAAAAACAAATAAAATACTTTCCTACAATAATCATAATAAAAAATTCAGCACTCCTACATATAAAACATAGTTGAATCCCCTTTCTTAAAGCGGGGGCGGGGGGGGAGAACGATATATCCTTCAATTGCGTTACAGGTTCAAGTCAGCAGAGCATTATCCCCGCCCAGAACAGTCTGTGAGGCATCCTCAGCTACAAATGTGCCATCGCCGTATGGCAAAAAATGCATTTGTGCCAAGCACTCCCAGCGGTATGCCACTTTTGTTTTGGCAGCAGTGTTCATGCAGCTGCTGTTCCGTGCATTTACAAACAAGCGGTTCCTACTGCATCTCCTGCCATGGGAGCCTGGTGCAAATCACCCTATGTCAACTGAAGACCAGAAAGCCTCAGAGTCAGAGGGGAATTGTCTACCTAACTGTAAATTAAAGGAAAATGGATTAAATACATGGGGAACATTTAATATATATTAATTACATTTAACTTTAATTACAATGAAATAAAATCAATGCACTTTTTGTCTTGGCTCCAACCCATGAACTTTCAGCCCTAGTATTTGTAATTACTATGTTGTACATGCTAAGGGGCTCTCCTTGAGGTGGATCCATACACTCTGCACTGAATCCCCCTTTCAGGGACTGAGAAATCTGAGCACAACACAACCACGCCAGAATAACAGCATTAGTTTCCTGGTCATCTCTTGTAAGGTCTGGGTGCTGGTAGCGAGAGTCTGGTGTCCCGGTCTTCTAAGAGAAAACTCAGCACGAGGCCGAATCATCAAGAGGCACGGAGGTGGCTGAGGGGTGAGGGAAGGATTTCTTTGCGGTAGCCTCCAATTTCATTCATACCACAGCCTTCCTTACTCTAATCTTCATTTGCGTTGTATTCACTAAAAAGAGTTAAAATGGAATATGCAATCTGATCAATGTTATTAAAATTTTATTCCAGAATGTTCTAGCACTTGCGTTCAAAATTAAAAGGACAAAAGTTGTCAGAATGAAAGCCAATTTCACTGAAGATTTAACATTTTTTCTAGCCCACATAATCTTTAATTTTTGCAGCTATAATTGTGCTTGTAACTAGCGATTTATTATTTTAGGTTTCGTCTTTTTATTGGCAAGAAGTGGTTTATGAAAATCTCTTGTTTGGCCTTTCATTACAAGCAGATGAGAATACTTCCATTTAATCTATTGCAGAAAGGCACAGTAATGGTTGATGACTAAAAAAAAAGTTTCCAATGGAGCAAATTTCTCATCCTTTGATCATTTTTATGGTGGCTCACCTATATCCTTAACAAACCGACATAGATTAAGCATTCCTTCCCACTGTCTGCATTTCTACCACACCTAGTTGTTTTTTTTTTTTTTTTTAAAGTTAAGTAGGTTAACTATAGACCTGCTGTATATGTAAGAACTGTTTATTACTGAGCCAAATAGGTCAAGTTGTAAAAAGAGCTGCATGATTCAGCCTGGAAAAATCTACCCTGAAAACGATGGCCAGGATTAGTCATGCTGTAGGCTTCCAAATGCAGCCCTGAAGAAGCTCTTTCCACTGTCTTCAAAACAAAACCTTTGGAGGATGATGTGAATATAGTGGCTGTTACTTCAAGAAAGCTACCGCAGAAATGCAAAGAATTAATTTCCTTTTTTAAAAAAACAACAACTCCAGGGATGTTGGAGGCAACTATATGGGAGACAAGTAAAGCTTGTATGAGAGGAATCTTAATAGGGCCTGCCGCAAATCAGAAAAAAGACCATAATAGATGGAAATCATAATTAGAAGAGAAAATAAAGGAATCAGAACAGATTCATAAAACCAATCCAGATGAACAAGCATTGAAAGAATTAAAGTTAAAAAACAATTAGAGTTATTGGAAATGGCAAAACTGCAAAAGATAAAAATATGTTAAACAAATCATTTTGAAAATGAAAACAAACCAGGGAAACTTCTGGCATATCAAATAAGAAAAGAAAAGGTGATAGAGAAAGAGAACAAATTCTTATATACAATATTGGAAATAGCAGAAAAATATGCAATTCTTTTTTAAGGAATTATATTCCAGGCATAAAATTGACCAAGCAAATTTGAAAACATATACAGGTAATCCTCAACTTAAGACAGCAATGGGGACCGGAATTTCTGTCACTAAGCGATGTGGTCGTAAAACACAACCACACTGCTTAGCAATGGCGATCCCTGCAGGTCCGGTTGCCATCATTAACCGAATCCCATGGTTAGGCGAGGCAACTTCCTGCCAATTCCCCACCACCAAGTAAATGGGGAAGCCGGCAGGAAGTTTCAAGTCCCAGGTGGCTTGCAAGCAGGCTGGCAGGCAAGTAAATGGCTGCTGCTGGATGTGGGAGGGCGCAAGGGAGACACAGCAAGACTCGGGGATGGTATGCGGGAAGCATGGTGAGGCTCAGGGAGAGCGTGCGCGAGTGGCCAACGTGGCACGATTGCAGAGGGACTGGGGAAGGGTGCATGGGTGAGAGAGACTTACTCCAGCGACTTGCAACCTTCTCTGCTCGCTTCCCCGTTGACTTTCTGGTGAAGACGGTAGGGAAGGTCGCAAATGGCGATCATGTGATTGCAGGGCACTGCAACCGGTCATAAGTGTATTACGAATGGTTGTAATTTGAGGACTACCTGCATTGAAACCTGAGATTCTAAAGAAGTTTGAAGCTTGCACTGATTTTGTTACTGAGATGCTCTAAACACAGAAGGAAATAAATATTAAGTTTCTTCCCTAGATAAATTAGATTTCCTTTCTGCCATGCCAAGAAACTGCCATGCATCAAAAAATGAACAGCTCCACAACTAGACAAACAGGTTCCACCATGTAAAACAAAACGAATGTTTTGTTGAGATAAAATTGAATGGGCGAAAACAAAATTATTTTCCACACAGTGAACCAGCTTATTCAAATCAGTTTTGCATCTACTACTATTGGTTCTTATATTTTCCAAAGTCAGTGCAGCCTTCTTAAAACTTGTCAGTTTGGCAGGCAACACAAATAACTATGTTTAACATATAACTATGACTGGTATGTGAATTACAATGCCATGTTTTTAATTAACTTGCATCATTCTGCTTTATTATTACTGTTAGCTGCTGGGAGTCTTAATAGACCCAATGGCATGTAAATAAACAGTGAACCTGTAAATCATAGTTATTATTTGCTAACATAGTATTGTAATTACTATGCATGAATTTTTAATGATTGCTCAACAGAGACAGGTCTGAATTCCTGAGTGTTGGCAGCCCCAGACAACAAAGTAAGGTATACCAAATCATGGTTTGGCATGATATCTGTGCCAATGATATGAATGCTAACCGGTGGCCAGAGTGACTTGGTCCCTCCTGGGTAAGGAGGGGCCACGGGAATACCTGCAAGACTGCTGTGAGGACTATTCTAGGCATCAACTGGATAAAGTCGCTCAGATTTGCTCAGAGTTGGAATCTGACCATACTGGTCCTTTGGAATTGCCTGAGGCACAGCCTGGCCCAGTTATCTGGGAAGAGTTCAAGCCTGTTGGCTCTGATCAAATGGACAGGGTTCTCGGTGCTGCCACCTGTGTTTCAGATCCCTGTTCCTCCTGGTTGATCCAGGTGTCCTGGGAGGTGACAGGCAGTTGGGTCCAGACTTCAGGAGGGTGTGGTCCCATCTGCCTTGGACCATCACTGGACCCAACAGATCTGGCAGTTTTTGTCCAGTCTCCAATCTTCCCTTTTTAGAGAAGGTTGCTGGCTTACAGCTCCAGAGGTCCCTGGAAGAAATGGATTATCTGGACCCTTTTCAGTCAGGAATCAGCCCAGTGACATTACTGAGATGGCACTGATTGCACTTGTGGATGACCTCTGGCAGGCTCGGGATGGAGACAGTGCATCCATCCCGGCTCTCCTTGATCTCATTTGATACCACTGATTGTGGCATCCTTCTGGCTTGGCTTAGGGCTTGGGAGCGGGAGGCACTGTATTACATGTTTCTTCTTCTTTCTTCCAGGCTGGTTCCAGAGCCAGTGTTGGTGGCGGGGAGAGGTTGAGCTTGACGCCCCTGCCTATGGGGTGCTTCAGAGCTCTACTCTCTCACCATTCCTAATTTTTTTTAGATTTTTTAATCTTGCCTTTATTATTTTTATAAATAAGTCAAAGAGGCGAACATACCTAAGGAGGACATACCTTCTTCCTCCTATTTTCCCCACAACAATGATCCTGTGAGGTGGGTTGGGCTGAGAGAGAGGGACTGACCCAAAGTCACCCAGCTGGCTTTCATGCCTCAGGCAGGACTAGAATTCACCGTCTCCCGCTTTCTGGCTTGGTGCCTTAACCACTAGACCAGACTGGCTCTCTACATCTACATTAAGATCTATTGAAGCCGCTGGGTGAGGTCATCCCTTGGCATGGGGTGTGGTATCATCAGTATGCTGGCAATACCCAGTTGTACATCTCTTGGCTGACCAGGCAATGCTGTCAAGGTCCTTTTCCAGTTCTTGGAGGCTGTGAGGGTCTGGATGTGGGAGAACAGGCTTTGGCTCAACTTTAGCAAAATGTGGCTGTGGGTTTTAAGGCCCCCAAGCTCGGGAGATTTTCCATCTCTGGCTCTACCTGGGGGTACACTTCCCCAATCAGAATCAGTGAGCAACTTGATGGTCCTCCTGGTTCCTGCTGAAGAGCAGGTGGCAGCCATGGCTGGGGGTGCTTTGCACAGGTTTGCGCACTAAATACACCAGTTGTTGACCCAAAGAGGCTCATGCCATAGTCCCTTCCCATTTGGATTACTGTAACGAGCTCCACATGGGGCTCTCCTTGAAGAGAATTTGGAACCTGACACTGGTCCAGAATGCAGCAGTGCAGACCATTTTTGGCATCTCTCGCTACACCCATCTAACATCCCTACTGTGCAAGCTGCACTGGCTCCCAGTAAGCTTCTAGGTGCGATTCAAGGTGCTGGTTGTCATCTATAAAGCCCTACAGGGCCAGGCTATTTGCAGGTATCAGCCCTATAATGTAGACCAGATCAAGAAACAGACAGTGCATAGACCTAAAACTACTTTTATTAGAATGTCTGTAGTAATAAAATCTTGCAAGTCTGAATGTACTCCCTCTCCTCCCTCTTTTATATTCATATGAATTAGGAGGGGGGCTGTTTTAGGTGTTTTCATAAATCTCTATCTTGGTATGAGCTTAAGCCATGTTTATCTGTTTATTGCCTTGGTAATGGATCTTTCCTCTCTGTCAAGGCCACTCTCTCTACTCTCTAGAGCAGAACTGCCTTTCTCCCATTGTTTCTGCTTGTCCCAATAGCTGTGGCATAGAGGGCATGGTTCGGGTACCCTCTATTTTAAAAAAAAGTCATCTTGTTGGACCAACAATCATGGTTTCTCTGTAGCAGCATCCCCTGGAGATATGGATGGCCCTGACCTGTTAACCTTTTGTAAGGCACAGAAAACTGGCTGTTTTTCCAGGCGTTAGGGCCAGGGGTTTAGATGAGCTCTGTTGCTGACGTGATTTTATGATTGCAATATATCATTTACCTTGGACATCATAGGCTGTTATTTTTAACTGCTGAGTTTTTAATCTTTTTATACCATCCAGAGTCACTGCTGTGAGATGGGTGGCCATATGATTTTTTTTGTTGCCATTATAGCTTGAAATCAAACTATGGCTTTTTAATTAATCTATTTCAATTTATTCTTTAAAAAAAAACCTCAATGCAATTATAGGCCAATCTGTACCTGATGATGCAGGCAAAACTATTTTGTGTAGCTTCCCAAACACATAAATTACCTTTGTTATATCAGAAAGAGAGCTAGAAACTGAGAGATGTACGTTTCAAAGATTCCAGTGATGTCCTCTGTCAAGACTTCAATTTTTGCCTCACTTACAAGTTTAATTTTGGACTACTTGCCTTACCTGGGTCTCCTTACCTACCAAGAAAAAACCATTTTGAAATTAACGCTCTTCCAGCCCATCTCTCCAAAGGGACACATGGATGAAGAGACAAAGCAGCCCCGCAAAAGGAAGCTCTGCTTGTTTTTCCCTCACCCTCTCCTTGGTGACCTTAATAAGGCCACTGCTGATTTTTCCCCCCCATTTTTCCCTAACTGGGAAAACAAACAAATAACTGTTCATGGAAATGTAGCAGAGCTACCAGGCAAGAGGGCTTCTGATTTAACCATGACAGCTCTAATTTCCTTTGTTATTTATTACTGATCACTTGGTAAATCAGTTATGGGTAGTCCTTCAGTTACGGTGGCAATTGGGACTGGAATTTCTGGCACTAAGTGATGCTGTCGTAAAGCACAATGTTGCATGACTGTGCTGCTTAGCAACAGCGATCCCAGCTGCCATCGAAACCCCAGGACTGTGCAGTCTGTTAAGTGGGAAGAGGAGGGAATCCCAGGCAAGGAGCAGGCTGCACGGGTGCTGCGGGGAGATGCCACGGGCGGATGCTAGGGAATACAGGTGGGAGTTGCAGGAGAGTGCTAGGGAGCACAGACAGGCGGGTGCTGCAGGCAGAGGGGTGCTATGGAGGGGGCTCCTTGGGAGAAAAAACGGTGGGAGCAACTTGTGACCTTCCCTACTGGCTTCCCCACTGACTTTGCTTGTGGGAAGCCAGCAGGGAAAGTCGCAAATAGTGATCATGTGACTGTGGGATGCTGCAACTGTCGTAAGTGCAAGCCAGTTGCCAAGTGCAGGACTGGTCATAAGTTCCCCTTGTTCAGTGCCATCATAACTTTGAACAGTTGCTGAATGAGTAGTCGTAACTTGAGGACTACCTGTACTTAAGAGTAGCACCAGACTCAATAAACTGTATCATGTGAACAGGGTGAAAATGTAGAAGTATGAATTGGGTGAATCCAACACAAATTTTAAATACCACCCCGGAAGCGTGCAAAATTATTTGTATCTGCAGGTCTTAATAAACAATGCAGGTTCTGATTTGAACACATATCTTCAGATTACAGAACTTGCAATCTGTAGAGAACACATAACAACATGTGCAGAAGGTAACGATAAAAAAGCTGTCAATAAACATGAATATTTGCAGCAATTTGTCTTGTGCTATGTCAGTTAATGTCAATTATACCAATATTTGAGCCTTGGAATCATCCCCTCATTGTATTTCAAAAGAGTTGTGGCGATACCTTCAGGAAAGACGCTGCTGTTCCTGTTTTTGCAAGCTTTGTTACTGCAGATGATGTGGAGCTGTTCTCGGTTTTAACTTTCTCCGTTGTTTGCATTTTAGTTGCTCCAGGCACTTTGGGCACCGAACTAATGATCCGGCTTGTTTTCTTCATTCTTGACTGCCTGCTTGATATACATTTACTAACAAATCTGGAGAGAAAAAATACAATTTTAAAAATTGAGGGCATAGTAATTTATACAGGCACAATTCAGACACCTTAAAGCAGCCTCTCTTTCTGCACAGACTACGAATCCTACGGCCAATACCTTCGGGCTCTCTGGACCAGAACTCGGTTGTCAGTCTCCAAGCCTGATGATATGTAGCTTAACTAGGTTGCTCGGCTCAGCCCAAACTCAGCAAGAGTCTTTCAAACATCGACACCTTTTGACTTGACAAGCATCTTTACTGCATCTGGACTGAAACCACCCTGAAAAATTGTTTGCATTCTGTAAATGTGACGGTAGTGTTCCCTCTGACACCCACGGTGGTATAAACCTGTTGTTTCTTCTCAGCAGACCCTTTGCCCTGCACTTCATGGCTTTGACGCTAAGTAATTGTTGGCTTTGATCTTATCTCTCACCAACATTAATCAGTTTGGAGTAATAGCCTTATTGAGGCCCTTAACTGAAAATATAAATGAAAAGATTTAATAATCAAAGCACTAGTACAAGTTACACTGGCTTTAACACTTCTTTTTTGAAATCTTCAGTCTGTGGAGAGTTTATGTTCTAGGCCAAGTCAGTACACCGAAGTTTCTGTCATTTCCCAATATCTGCAATTTCATATGCAGATTAAGGGGGAAATGAGCAACCAACTTTTTTCAATTAGAAATGAAATATAAACAGAACAAGGATAATTAGGTTTTCAAACAAGGTTAAGACACTGCTTGTTGGGCAAAAGCTGCATCAATATAATTGAAATAACTAAATACCCCACTAATGTAACTGAATTTAAATATTCTGTATGAAGGTCCCACAAGATTTTTGCTGTAATAAATTACTTAGTTTTTAATGTAACAAAATGTTAACTTTACAGCTGGTTTGACCATTGCTAATTTGGCTGCAGTGACTCATATTGTAAACATCCTCCTGCTAGATTATTACACTTCATTCCACTAAAGGCTGAGCAGTTTCAGTTTATGTGGAAGGCTGCCATTCTGCTACTGAATGGTGTGCAAGGCTGGAGATCTATCACATCTATTCTGTAGAATCTGCACTTTTGCCTTTTCAACCTACTTGAAAAGTCACTGTTGTTGACTTAGAAGCCTTGGATGGCTTTGGGCCCAAGGATTTGTTGGAATGCTTCTCCCTAGATGTACTGGTTAGCCAATGAGATCTCTCAGTGGGACTGCTCACAGAAATACTAAGCTGCAACGAGCCCATTATGGAACCCACAATCAGGCCTTCAGAGGCTCAGCAGCAATTCTGGTCTGGCAGCCCTTTACCTAGGTTTTGGGGTCTCTGGATACATTAATTGTGGAATGCAGAGGATTTCGTTTTCAAGTACCAATTAATATTCTGTGCTATGTAATTCTGTATTGTTTTTTGTAATCTGCTCTGTTATTTTCATAAGAAGAGCAATATACGGTATAGATTAAGCAGCACAACTGCAGCTTTTAATAATATTTTCTACAGTGCTAATCTCAGGGAAAAATAATTCCATGTACTGTATTACATTAGTTATTAAATTTTTAAAACACTGGTTATCTATATAGCTTTATATACAAACATTTAGCTATATAACTATATTACAATTGTATAAAGGTGATATACTATAAAGAAGGCGGCTAACTTAATATATACTAAAAAGCTATATGGTAAAAGAAAAGAACCCTATACTAAACCACATAAGAGGGAAAATCTCAAAAAGGAAAAAAAATGAAGAGAACAAAACAATTGATAAAAAAATAGCAATTTAATGACTAAGTAAAACTAAAAAAAAAACCCAGGTTATTGAAATTACATAACAATCTTCAATCTTCTTGAACAAAGAATTAAACCTGATCTGTGCGGGATCATATAGCTCAGTCTTGCCTTTCCTTTGATGTAGTTCTAATTCAAAGGCTGAGAGTTGACAGTTTCATTAAGCCAACTTTTAGCATTTGGAACACAAGCCTTCTTCCATGAGTACACAATCACTTTTTTATTTGCAGTTCAAGCTTGAGATATCCAAAGTTCTTCATAGACTGAAAGATTCCAAATTTGGAGGATATAGTTTAACAATACATTAACTGTTAACCACCTTCCAACAACCTGGTTTGCCACAGATAAGGAATATCTAACTGATATCTAATAGGGAAGGGGGAGGCAGGCAAAGACGACGGTCAGCGGGGGGGAAGATTGTAAATATGGGCTGGCTCAAATTTTTATCATGTGACCATGGGGGTGCTGTGACAGTCATAAATTCAAGGACCGGTCGCAAGTCTATTTTTTTAGTGCCGTTGTAACTTCAAACAGTTGCTGAACAAATGGACGTTAAGCGAGGACTATCTGTATGTACTAAAGTTTCTTCAAATTGATTACTTCTCCAGCATAGATAGGATAATAAAAGATAATACATTTTAATATATCTTTGTCCACTAAACTGGATAGTTTTAGCCAGTGACCAATTGTTTTTACAATAACACCTCCATGCGTGCTAATTCTAATTTGTGCTTTTCCTGGAAACCACAGAATGTTTTTGGCCCATGGCCTGCTGCATCTATAGAGCCACTTTTGCAATAGAGGGGCTGAAGGAGATCCTTACTCCTTATATTACCTCCAAACTTTCATTTGAAGTCAATTTTTGGTCAGGACTAAGCTAGGACTAAGCTAGTCAGGACTATGCCCGGTTTTACAACATGGAGAGAAAGAATGTAATCCATACATGATAGAAAAAGAAGTAACATATACTTCAGGGACATAATGCCAATCCTCACTCAATCTGCCAAAGCTCTATCTTCCTTGGAGACTAATTTGTCCTGGATGCTGCCCATGTTCTTTTCTAATAAAATGGCCACAACCAGAACCTTGGCTGATTGTTCTTCTCTACACTTAAAGTACATGGAGCAATGTAAAATGGCTTGGAGACAGCTTTCATTTCTGTAGACCAAGAAGAAATACTTTCATATCTTATTATGGAGCCCACTTAAGAAACTATTTAAATACACAAACTCTTACACACAGAGAGCCACACCTTATCTTGCTATTCTGAGAGATAAAATGTTGGGATTACTCAAAGCTCAATCTGCTTCTTGTTAAGCACTTCTTTCATGTTGTGGTGAAAGTAACCTATGGCAATAGCAGTTTCTACGAGAATAACTCTGGTGTTAACCCCTGGTAAATCAGTGGTACTCTCTGGGGTCCATAAAGCTGCAACTCAGTTTGAGTTACCCTCACAGCAACTTATCAATCATGTGAATTATGTTCACCCCCATCCTGTATATCCTTTGCTATGTGACTTGATGGCACATCACTAATACAATAGGTCCTCATTCAACGACTATTCATTCAGCAACCATTCATACTTATGATGGTGCTGAACAAGTAGTAGTTACGACCAGTCCTCAGAGTTCCAGCTGTTGCAGTGTCCCCACAGTCACATGATCGTGATTTGCAACCTTCCCTGCCAGCTTCCCACAAGCAAAGTCAAAGGCAAGAAGTCGGAAGTCATGGTCATGTGAGGTTCTTGCTTAATGACCTGCGTGGTCCTCTCTTAATGACAGCAACTAGGACTGCCAGAATTGCTGCTGCTAAGTGGCATGGTCACATGACATTGTGCTTTATGACTGCATTGCTTAGCAATGGCAATTCTGGTCCCAACTGCCTTTGTTAACTGAGAACTACTTGTACTGCTAACAATAGAGGATGGGATGGGATGGGATGGGATGGGATGGGAGTCACAGGCAACTGTTGACCCCTCAACGAATCTGAGACTCCTAATCTGAGTGATCTCTAATTTGGGTCTATCCATTAGGGAGGAATCCAAAATCATTCTCAATTTCTCACCATTCTGGACAATTATCCTCCAGTTTTCAATCTTCCCTTTGTAGGGAAGGTTGGGAAGAGGGTGTTTAGATGACAGCTACAGAGGAACTTGGAGGAAACATTATCTGGACCCATTTCAGTCAGGTTTCAGACCAGTGTATAGTATGGAGACAGCCTTGGTGGAGCTGGGACCAGGGTGGTGTATCCATCCTTGTGCTCCTTGACCTCTTAGCAGCTTTCAGTATCAGCAACCGTGGTATTCTTCTGGACAGGCTGCAGGGGTTGGGAATGGGAGGCACCATGTTACAATGGTTTGCCTCCTTCCTTAGTCCCAGTCGGCACTGATGGAGGGGAAGAAGAGATTGCATCTGTGGCCCCTCACTTGTGAGGTATCTCAGAGCTTGACACTCTCCCCTCTTCTGTTTAACATCTACATGAAACCACTGAATGAGGCCATCCATCAGTTTGGTATCTTCAGTACAGGGATGATACACAGCTTTATATCTCAACCCTGGGCTGAGCAGGTGAAGCTATCAAGGTACTAATCCAGTGCCTGGAAGCTGTTCAGGTCTGGATGGGATGGAACAGACTTTGACTCAATCCTGACAAGACTGAATGGATGTGGCTGTTTAGCCCCCTGGATCAGGGATGTTTTCATTGTTGGTCCTGGATGGGGTATCAGTACCCCATTTGAGACTGGCGTGCAACTTGGGCTCCTTCTGACTTGCAGCTACTGCTCAAAGAACAGGTGGCAGCCGTGGCTAGAAGGGCCTTTGTACAGGTTCATCTTGTGTGCCAAGTGTATCCCTTCCTTGACTGGGAGAGCCTTCAGATGATCACTCATGCCCTGGTGACCTTGTGATTGGACTACTGTAATGCACTCTACACGGGGCTGCCCTTGAAGACAATTCAGCTGATTCAAAGTCCAGTAGCACCAGCAGTAACAGGCATTTTTTGTTATGCTGCTGCTATGCAAGTTGTGTTGGTTGCCAGCTGGCCTCCGGATGCAACTTAAGGTGCTGTTGTCACCTATAAAGCTCTTCATGGCATAGGGCCTGGTTATCTGAGGGACCA